CAGTTAGCTTATCCTCCGTCACTGTAGCTGCTTTTGAAACGAGAACGTGCGCGCGTGAATGCGCGCTGCGGGCAGTGACGATGGAGGGCGTCAGAAGCTCGTTCACGAACAAACTTCTGTTTTCATTGGCTGTTAATTCTCGGGGAAGCCTGGATTTTTCTAAAGCCTGTAGTACCACCGGGAAAAGCAAGAGGACTCTTTTTTCCTCCATAGCTTACCTGTCTAATATCAATCTGTCAGGAGATAGTGACAGAATGAACAAATATGTAAAAAATACATTTTTAGAAAAGTTACATACTGCACCTTTAATATTCAATATCTGCCTATAGTTTATATATAAAAACACTTTTAATACTTTCAATACAAAAGAAATAAAACTAAATGTGTTCCTTGTGTTGTGGTGTTTTATTCACACACAGGTTCTTTAGTCGGACTTATTTCTGATTACCTCACACCACTGTAGTCAGACACCTACATATTCACTGTACATATAATTAGTGTTACACTAACATAAGAAGACAAAAACAGTCAGTTAGTTGAAGCTGATTTTAAAAAGTTTATAAGAAAATTGAAGGGATTTATCTGTGTTTTATCCATTTAAATATTTGAGTTTTAAAGTAAAACCTGTTTTTATTAGAATTTATTTATTTAGTTAAATAAAATGTTATTATTTTGTTTAGATTCTTAGCAGCTTCTTTAATTAAACATTTATCTGCTTTAAAAGACAACAGCAGAAAGTTTAACCTTATTCATGTAACGATGTATGAAAAGATCTTTATAAAGTAAAAAACAGAAACACTTTCTTTAAAAAACAAACAGCCAATAAGAACACAGATATTTGTTTTAACTGGCTTCTAAATTGTTCCTTTAAACCTTTAAAACTTCAGGAATAATTTCTATAAACAACATAAGGATCAGGGATTCAGAAATGATGAAACTAAAACAGAAACAACAGATTTTTATCCACAGAAAGCAGCAAAATAAAAGTGTTTTTGTTATCGAGGCGTTCAGGTTACTGAAGCGTAAAAACGACGAGTCATCGTTTTGAAGTTGACTCAGTTTTATTCTTCAGTTTTAAACCTTTAAAAAAGTGATTTTACTGAAGAAAAGCAGCTCGTTTTTAAAGTATTAATCTGAATATTAGCTGAGAGTTTGTCTTGTTCTGTATGAATAAACTTTAATCTGCAGCTCGATATTTTCCAGGAGAACAACTATTATAATAATACTACTATAATTAAACATTATTTACATCAGAGGTAATAAATAATAAAATATATCTCCACTCACTGTTATTTTGTTAAATAAAAACACCTGTTCTCTAAACTGACCTGGCAGGTGGTCTTGTCGGGGGTCCGCTGGGCGCTGGGCGTGGCCTCAGCACAGCTGGAGCTCGTCCCCGGCGCAGGCTGGTGCAGCAGGACACAGATCAGGTCTCCAGACACGATGCCGCAGGAGGACAGGGTCTGACCCGAGTCCGACAGGAGTTCAGAACCGTTCAGAGACAAACTGAAATCTGTGTCGGTACCGAGTCCATGAGAGGACAGCAGGGTCTGCTTTATGAGGTCCGACAGCTCCTGCAGGGTGGGCTCTCCGCCCGGTAACTCCACCCTGCTGGTCTGACGCTGGATCCGAACTCGCAGCTTCATACTGGGAAAAAACAAACTGGACTTTTATTTAGATCAACAGAACCTGGATCTGCTCAGTCCACTCCCAACATCACCGACTGAAACTCTGCACCAAACTCCACTCACTTTTCCTCCAGTTTAATGCTGAAAATCAAAGCCTGGTGTGTTCCACTGCTTAAGATAAAAAACATACAGGCTTAATGTTAGAACATAGAAATTTAAATTATTCATAAATTAACACTGCTGAATAACAGGAACATTTAACTATTTTAACACAGAAATCAAATTAAAATGATGCTATTTTTATTTATTCTGTAAAAACATAATTTGCTAAAATCTTTTTAAAAATAACAGGAGTTTGGTTCAAAGAACTTCTGCCACTGTTTACTGCCTGTTAGCATAACTTCAGAGTTACTTTAACTTCATTTATCATCATTTATTATGTTAGATTAAATGTATCTGACATCTTTTACACTAAATTAATAAAAATACAACAAATTTATGTTTACAGACAGCTCAAACACGACACAAGTGTTGCTACAGCTGATTTCATTTCGGTTCAATACGTTAACTAATGTTACTGTGTAAAAACCGCTAGTTAAAATTAACTAACCCTGTAAGTTAACATTAGCTAACCCGGTTAGTTAACATTAGCTAGTTAACATTAGCTAACACTGTTAGTTAACATTAGCTAACTCGGTTAGTTAACATTAGCTAACTCGGTTAGTTAACATTAGCTAACCCTGTAAGTTAACATTAGCTAACCCTGCAAGTTAACATTAGCTAACTCGGTTAGTTAACATAAGCTAACCCTTTAAGTAAACATTAGCTAACCTGGTTAGTTAACATTAGTTAGTTAACATTAGCTAACCTGGTTAGTTAGTTTACTAAACCAGTAGTTTTTGAGCAGAAAGTCAAGCAGAGATAAACTCACATTATGGTCTGAAGCGCTGATTTCTGTTTCGTTTCATGCTGTAAACAAACACCTCGGCGATTAAACGCAACCGGAAATCCAAGATACTTCCGCTTTAGCATTTCAAAGTAAATGTCATGTAAACAAACTTATTCCGTAATTTTGAAACGAAACTAGACGAAAGCAAATAAAAACAAACGCTTTGAAACATCACACAAATATATATATGTTTTTCAGTGACTGAAATGAATACAAGCAGTTTTTTATATTTATGAACCAACATAATAACACAAAGACAAAAAAAAAAA